AGTGGGAGGCCTAGGGGGACAGGACAAAGAGAAAAGTGGAGGGGTGAGGCGGGTCTTCCAGTGTCTTCAAGGCTTTATTATATGACGTGAGCGTAGTGGGCAGAGCAGGAACCTGCGTCTGTCATATGCATGCCATGCAACTTCCTGGGAGACAGTCTCCAGAGCTTCCCAAAGACATTCAAAGCGCTCCTAGACGACTAAGAACAAACAGAACTTTCCTTGTCCTTACAATTTCCCGCTACCCTGCCTCTGCAGGAAGAGGCGGGCACTGCCAGCTCGCTTTGTTGTTGCCATAACAACCTCTAGGGGCCCACACTCCCTCGCGGGCAACTCTAGCTGCTGGCTGAGGGTGAAGCCCAAGGCTGCTACCACAGGTGAGCCATGAGGACAAGGGGGGGCGGGCTCAGAAAGGACACCTAGCTGTCTGTGCCCTGTCCCTCCAGTGTCCTCACTGGTCTCCCTCTTTTTTTCTTTAGAAACAAAACGTGGGCAATCTTGTAAGCCTTTCCTTTCTGGTCTTCTTCTACCTCTCCTTAAATTCTGAAAAATGCAGAGACAAGAGTGGAATCTATCCCAGGCAGTGGCGGTATAACCCTTTAATCCCAGCATTCGGAAGGCAGAGGCAGGCTGATCTTTGTGAGTTCGAGGCCAGCCTGATCTATGGAACAAATTCCAGAATAACCAGGGCTACATAGAGAAACCCTGTCTTGGAAAAAAAAAAAAAAGTAGGCTCAATGACGCACAGATGAAGCACTGACACCTGTTGGCACCATAGCGCTGTGGGAGTCTAGTGCAGCCTTCCTTTACGATTCTGAGCAAGCCCAGGACAGGCTGTCACTTTGGGGCTAATATGGCACCGATATCTCCTTGACTTTTGCTCATCTCTCATGTATTTTATTTTATTTTTTATATTACATGTATGGATGTTTGGCCTACATGTGTTTCTGCGCACAACTCATGTGCCACCATTGGATTCCCTAAAACTGGAGTTAACCATTGTGAGCTGGGTGCTGGGAACCAAACCAGGTCTTCTGCAAGAGCAGCCAGGACTCTTAACAACCGAGCCATCCTCTCCTGCCCAGATTTCTGCTTTTTTGAAACATTGGCTCTCTCTGTAGCCCATGCTGACCTCGAACTTATGGGGATCCCTCTGCTTAAACATTCCAACAGTTAGGATTCCAGGTTGCATTACTACTCCCACGGCCCCTTTGTTCTTAGTTGAGGACAGCTGTGTGCAGGTACCGGGTGTGGTGACAAGCAGAAAAGACTTGGTATCTGTCCTCTCTACTGAGATGGGGGTAGAACAGTGCTGCGCAGGGTACTCTCAGAGGGGAAAGGTGCTGCCAAGATTGTGTTGGACTCTAGCGTGCAAACACTGAGGAGGAGTCGCCCCCAGAGACCACCTCACACACCACAGCCGATGCAAAAGCATGAGGATTTTATTAATTCTGTCATGACAGGGTCCCTCAGCATTTGGGAAGCCGAGAGACCTCGAATAGCTGGCACAGGCTACTTTTAAAGGAGAAGGCCACAGAAGCAAGGGGGGGTTGTGATTGGATTATTCAAAAGAGCTATTACCAATAATTGGCTGGAGAGCTGTTGCCAGATCAGATGAGGTAAGAGGTCATTTTGACCCCGTTTCCCAGGAGACTGAATCAAAACATACATATATGGGTAATTGTTCAGGAACTAAGTACGTGCATGTGTAGCTGTTAGGTCCTTGGTTCCCAGGGGAGGAGGAAGCACTATGGCACGGAGGCTGAGAGGATTCAGAGTTGTCAGAAATGGCTTCAGAATTGTCTTAAAGTCTTACAACTGGCCGGGCGATGGTGGCGCACACCTTTAATCCCAGCACTCGGGAGGCAGAGGCAGGTGGATCTCTGTGAGTTCGAGACCAGCCTGGTCTACAGAGCTAGTTCCAGGACAGGCTCCAAAGCCGCAGAGAAACCCTGTCTTGAAAAACCAAAAAAATAAAAAATTGTCTTACAACTGATCTTGAAGAACATATAATGATATCGTAAATGCACATCGGTAACCCCAGTCAGGATTCTGCCAGCAGCAAAATCCTTTCATACTACTGACCCCTCTTTTCTCCCTCCACTCCCCCACTTTCTTGTCAAGACAGGGTTTCTCTGTGTAGTCCTGGTTCTCCTAAAGCTAGATCTGTAGACCAGGCTAGCCTTGAACCCACAGAGATCCGCCAGCCTCTGCCTCCCAAGGGCTGGGATTAAAGAAGCACACTACTACCACCGCTGCTCCTCTCTCGAGGCTCCCACTCCCCATCTGAGGCCCAGCCAGGAATCCAGCCTTCTACACAATGACGCAATTCAAGGGCCTGTGGAGAGGTTACTGTAGGGGCTCAGCAGTTAGGAACATTGGCTGCTATCGCAGAAGATCAGGCTCAATTTCTAAAGTCCAAATGGGGCTCATAACTGTTGGAACTTCAGTCCCAGGGGATCTGATGTCCTCTCCTGGTAAAGACAGAGGACCAGTAGGTAGAAGGCTTGGTTAGCATGCATGAAGCCCTGGGTTTGATCCTTGAACTGCAGAAACCAAGCATGCTGGCTCCTGCCTGCAACCCCAGCACTTGGGAAGTGGTGGCAGAAGGGTCACCAATTCAAAGTCATCTTGCATATTGAGTTTGAGGTCAGCCTAGGCTCAAAAAAGAAAAATAAGTAATTTTCAGCTACATTGTGAGTTTGAGTCTAACCTATGTTGCACGAAAGCCTATCAGAAACAGAGAGGACTTGAGTGTGGCTGTGCAAGTCTGTTAGCCCATGCACAGTGTAAATTTAACATCAGCCTGCTCTACATATGGCGTTCCAGGTCAACCGGGGCTACAGAGCAAGACTCCATTAAAAAAAATTGCCGGGTGTGGTGGTGCACACCTTTAATCTTTGCACTAGGGAGGCAGAGGCAGGAAGTTCTCTGTGAGTTCAAGGCCAGTCTTGTTGAAATAAGAAGCGGTGGGGCTGCGTCCCCAACACCCCAGCTGCTTGGCTAGCTCACGCCTGAAATAACAACACACAAACTGTATTCATTTAAAGGACTGCTTGGCCCATGAACTCTAGCCCTTACAGGCTAATTCTCGCACCTGGACTAGCCCATTTCTAATAATGTGTGTAAGCACCCCAA